TATAATTATTGAAATTTTAGAATCGATGATTAACTGATTAAAAATTTAAATAAAAAGTAATAGTTTGATTAATCTAATAAATTGAACAGATTCTATTTTAAGAAAGATAGGAAAGATGAATGAGCATATCTCAAAGATCAGCAAATCGTGTCTGAGAAAATCAAAACTTATTAAACTGGCAACAGTTGGAGAAGTAACAGATTAGGTGGTATCTTGCGCGTGGTATGAATGGGCCGACTCGTGATTATACTATCTTCTATTACTACTCGCTTGGTCGAGCTATCATAGCCATTCCTCTTGTAGTAGACCAGCAATCGTAACATTCGTACACACCGCGACAACGTTATTGCGTTTACACGCAAACTGATTGCGGTAGTAGCATCTCCTGTTAAGAGTCAGTTAGCTAATCTTCACGCTAGCTTAATATAAATACGTTAATGATTAGTTTAAAAGATAATTACAATCAAACGATGACAAGTCATTATGAGTTTACATTGCAATCATTTCTTCAGCTCTGTTAATGTAGTTTTTGATTCCAATTTCATTCGAAATAGGCTAATGACGTATTTCAGGGACGTAATAAAATATTTTATGTAACTGTGTTAGTGATGGTTTCTTTTTTTTGGTTGAAATATATTTTGGGTGATTATTAAATTTTATTAAAAAAAAAAAAGATAAAAGTATTGAAAGGTGCGTGCGTATTTTTGTCGGGTATTTTCGTATCGTGTTACCGTTCTCTATCAATGTGAACGGATGAAAGTTACATCGTATCAAAATACGATACGAAAATACGCTAATAAACCAATCGGTCACTTGTCGGTTTTTAGTCGTCGCGTAATACTTTTAAATATTTTCAAAAATATATATAAAATTGATCAACTTTGCACTGGTGATCAATTTTTTTTCTTTTTTACCCCTCCCCCGTTCTCTTAAGTGTAATCTTTGTTATTTGTACAGTGGGACATTCGACAGGTTGAGTTAGTAGTTACGAAAAGCATATGGATGCTATTCCCAATTAAGTAACATCATTTTCAAATATTTTGATCTGGGTTACTACAGCAAATTATGAAATACTTCTGCTAATGATTTTTTTATTGTTACGCGGCAAGTCACATGACTTTCGATAATTATCTCAGATAAAGAATTATTCCTCATTAGCATTTTTGTTTTGAAGAATAGGTTTTAACAGTGACGAAATATAGGTAAACAAATGACTAACTGCCTTTCTATTTCTGGCATACATTTAATCCTAATGGTCACAGAAGCAAATAAAGAGTCATCTAAATCTCAAGCAATAAATATTTCTCTAATGCTTTCCCTAAATAACATTCTATACAATGCTATTGAATAAATGCTAATAGCTTTTTAAACATTTTTGGAAACTACATAATGCTCAGATATATAGAAAGTAAATATAATATTAAAGGAAAGTATTATAATACTATTGTTGACCGTGAAATGTTAGCGTGTTTATCAAAATTCTGAATTGAACTATGCCACAAATTATTAGAAAATTGAGATAAGCGAAAATAAGCAAACAAACGCTGTTCTTAAGATATTATTTTCATCAGATTACTATACTTCTCTTTGTCTTCGATTCTTTCTTTCTTATTGTTACAACTGTTTTGTGAGAACACCTGGTCCTCTTATCAGAATAGAAAAGGTAGAAAGGTAGGTAACTACAATGCTTTTCCCTGTTCACGTTAGTACAACTACTGTGTCCTGTCTAGTTCCTTATTGTTTCACTCATAAACAAATTTTATTTCGCTTTTTATTTAATTTAAGATAAACATTATAGTGGAAAAGAGAAAACATTTTTGTGTATTAAAAATATATAAATAATTAAAAAGAATATTTATATATATTATATTTGTGTGAATAAAAAATTTTTCTTCATATAATTTAAAATTTGATGATAAGTCGTATAGTGGATGATGATGATCGAGACATTTTTTAACGTGGACCGAGAATTAGGGGAGAGGACGAGAGGTCGAGATAAAGAAGCTATTCAATCTCTGAAAATCTCGTCGTAAACGGCATCGATCCATACCGCGCGTCTTGTTCGTGCCTCTATATACATATATATATATATAAATATATTGCGGATAACAGAGAGTGTTTTTGTGGGGGCCTTAAAGAGATAACGGCAACCTCTGCCCTCGATATACAAAACTTCTTCCGCTCGTTCAGTAACTTTAAAACTCGTTCTTTGCTACCGTTTCGTACCATCACCTTTTTTTCTCCTATTTATCTTGGCAAGAAAAGAAAAATAGAAAAAATTAATTTATATATTACAAATATATTTAATTATTGTTTATCGATCGTAATAATAATCATAAATTAATAATATGAAGGTATATATGAAATAGATTAAAAAGTTGTTATAATAGAAATAATTCAATTAGAAATAAAGATTGGTAAATAATAAAATTGAAATAAACCATTTGAATATTCTATTTATTTAGTGTTGGGTAAAATCATATTGCAACAATTTTTGAACAAAAATAATTATTATATTTTATGACGGTTTTCAAGTGAAATCCAAATAATTCTGGATTAACTAGCAGGATCTTATAAAAAGAAGTTTTATCGTTCTGGGGATTAGTAATAAAAGAAGATGAACATTTTCAAAGTTGAATTATTTTCAACAATTTTTTAATTATTTATTCGATATCTCTTTCTCTTCTTTTTTTAACTTATTATTAAATTTCGTTGCAGTCGTGTCACAGTTGCAAGACACGTTTATCATATTAATTAATTGTTATTCATTTGGTTTTGCAAAAATCTTCAACTCATACGAGGAGAAAAGCCTTATACATATAATTGTATTGTGAATACTTATTTACATCGGAATTCATAAATAGTAATTAAATAATATCATTTGTTTTCTACGTTTGAAATTCATTTATATGATAGCAATTATGGTTCATGAAACTTTGATTCAAAATTAATTAGCATTGTTGATCGGTAAAATTATCGATGAATATTCGAAATTTCTCAAGATAGGTACTTATTATTTAGTAATTATTTTCTCAAAAGATAATATGAAAGAAGCAGTTTATTAAAAAGCATTTATTTATAGACAATTGATTGTCCAAAATGAAAATTTCATAAAATTAGCCACTATAATCATGCTATTCTGTAGAATAATCGCTGTTGCGTTTATTTCTCCTAATGCTTTCTTTACAATAATGAGAAAGAAAAAGAGAAAGAGAAAATATGATCATTCTCAGAGAATGAGAGGAAAAGATCAGTCTCAGTGGATGCGCAAGTGTTCGTAGTTGATGCGTATATTTTCTTCATCGAATGATTAATCGGGGTCGCGGCTCGGCATCTTCTTGTCGGTTTTAAACCAACAATGGACTCTCCATGAAGATAAAGAACCAATGTAAATTTCACTGTTTGGGTTACGAAGTTTTCTTAATAACATAATACATATATATACTACATTTTGTATTCAATTTAATATTTCATCTATATATTTAGATATTTAATACGTGTAGGTATAGGTAATTTGTGATAGACAAATATAAACATTTGTATAAATAAATTTGTAATTTTTTCAAATAAATGATCCTCGTAAATAAAGTAAATATGTAAAATGAACAATTATAGAATAATTTTGTATGCATGGTAAATCGATAACATTATTTTCTCTTATAAATTTTGTTTCACGTTAAATATAAATAACTTATATTATTATATAAATACATACATAAATACATAGATATTTAAATTAATGGCTCTGTAAAAAAAACACGCTCGCATTATCCAATGGTATGATTCGTACTTGGATCTTTTACTAAAAAATATGTTTTTTAATATAATTCGTCTGAAACCACCGTATGGGTGGAGATAATCTCACCGAGCCTGACCTCTCCAATTCGATTAGGTAATATCAATAAGGTCGATTCAATGTTAAACGATCGAAACATCGATACAACACGTAACTATCAATTTCATTTGAATATAATAATTTATTAAAAAAATTAATAATAAGAAGCAAAAAATCATTCTCGTTCCATCAATGTCAAATAATTATGAAAGAAAATAAAAATTAATTATATGAGTTATTTTATTTCAAAAATTATCTCTTGTTATACGAGATTTTCAAGTCATTCGATTGAGAAAGAGTGCAATTCGACATTAGGATCATTGACGTGGCCTATGCTCGGTGGTCCTGCCATAACTTGACCCTTGATGATTAAAAATAATATTTTTATCAACGAGAAGAGAGAGAAAACAAAAAAAGAGAGAGAAAGAGAATCGTTTGCTAAACGTTCGTTCGTGTTCATATTACATTTTACTTCTCCTTCTCTTTTCTCTCTTTCTATCTCTCTCTCTCTCTCTTTCTCTTTCACACACACACACACACAAATATGCACGTACATATTTGTTTTTATACGTGTGATTATGTCCACTTATTCGCAATGGTACAAGTGCGTGAGTGCGTGAGTGTCATCATTGGTAGAACACAGAGCAAAAGGGAGAAAGAAAGAGTGAGAGAGAGAGAGAGAAAGAGATAAGGCAACCCGTGGTTATTTTTGTAACATACCGGATAGCAACAGTTTCTCTGTGTCAACCCTGATGTGTCCACTCGTTTGAACAAACTTTTTTTATTAATTTATTTCTATACCCCTTTCTCAGTTATAATAAATATATACACCTACACATGACATTATTTCTACAGTTGACTTTGAAAAATTTTTACGTTTTTTTGAACGTTTACCTATAATTCTTTTTCTTATTTTATCATATCTGAAGTGTGTATGTCGCCGAGTAAACATTGTTTTGATAATCGTTCTTTAAATTATTGGTATTTTTACATTTAATATGTATTATTTATTGCATTCTTTGATAACGATTAAAAATGTAGTATTTATATGAGTAATCTTATTCATTGTTAAACAATTTCTGATATATATTTATATATAAAATTAGTTAGGAAAATATATTATAAATAGATATTTTATAAGATCGATTATATTTGTCTTTATTAGTTGATTCCGTGCATGGAACGATGGAGCACAACTCTCAGACGGTGAGGGAAGCCGTCGTGGAGGATGTAAGTCTCGAAACTGAAGGAGGTAGTCTAACGATAAAAGACGAGATGGTTAATCAAGGAATTCTTCAACAACAACGAAAACAACAGCAGGAGATTGGGTTTATTGTCAAACAGGAAGGCGGGGATGATGTGGGCGTGCTAGAGGCGGGTCACTCAGAAATCGAAAATGGCGTCATGCTAGAACCAACCGGAACAGAAGTGATCGCCTTGAGTGTTTCTACCAGTCATCAGGATGATCGGAATTCTAATTATACCCTTCATCAACTTAGTAATCAAGAAGATCATATTATTTATGAAAGGTAAATATGATAATTAAATTGGTTTTATATTTTTTTTAATCAACAAATAGATAATTTTATTTTATTTAGAATATTTTTATTGATTTATATTACACATGGATTTCTATTTATTCGCGCTTTGATTTATTGAAAGAAATCTCGTAAAAATTGCAAAAAAGAAACACGAGTGGAATTGCATCGATATCAGCATGAGTTACGTTTCATAAGTGTACTAAATAGATAAAGCTCGATGGTCATATCGATAAAGAATCCGTTTTATCGGAGAATCGATGAGTACGAAGAAACGATCGAGACTGATCATCGTTGTGATCTATGAAAATCATTTTCATATTATCGATATTTCGAGTTCGGAATAAATTCTATTTCGAATTTGTTGTTAGATTTCGTAACTTTGTATATTCATTTATTAATTATTAATTATCGATTTATAATACAGAAAAAGAAAATTAATAAATTTGATAGATATACAAACACATAAATGTATATTAGGAATTAATATAAATATGAATTAATTAATTTTTTACGCGAAGATTCTTTTATAAGGTAATTTACTTGTTTTCAACCCCTTATATAATAAAATATAGAGGCTATTTAGAAGAGGGTTCGCCACGATTTGGGGGCGGTGACATTGAAGAGAAGGAGGAGCAGGAACAACAGCAACGAGTCGCTCACTCCCACCACCAACGTCACCACCACCACCACCACCACCATCACCTCCACCAACATCAACAGGCGCAAGAGCAGCAGCAACAGCAAACACAGTACGTTCAGCTCGGGCAAAGCGAAGTCCCGGTTCCTGAAGGAGGGGATAGCCGGCATTCAACGGAGGTCTCCGTCCCTAGTGAAGGAACTCGTACTGCCAGTCACATGCCTCACTCCACGATGCATCGTTACGGTGGAGAAACGCTTTCACCGAGTGCTACGGATCATCCCCATCATCAACAACATCATCATCATCATCATCATCATCATCATCAACAACAGCAACAACAACAACAGCAGCAGCAGCAACAGCAGCAGCAGCAGCAACAACAGCACCATCATCAGTTATCCGAAATTCATCAGCAACAACAACAACAACAACAACAACAACACGGTTCTCATCGTCATTTGGAAGATCAACAACAACACCATCAGGAAAACGAGGAAGAAGTTGATAGAGTCGGTGGTATTTCGAGAAGTGCGCGTGGGGATTTTAGTCTGGGTGTGCTTTTTCCAAATCTCGGCTCTAACGGTACTGGTGCCAATAATGGAAATGGTAACGCTACGTCTCATCATCTTCATCAGCAACAACAGCAACAACAGCAACATCACCATCACGCGGGTGCTCATCATATGGAAGATGTACTACCGAACGATCCTTATCTTCAACATCAAATTCGTACAGGAGGCGGTGTAACGAGTGCGAGTGGTGGGGTCACCGATGGCAATTCGCCGCCGATTAGAACGAGAGGCTCGCCAGGTTCCAGTCGTAGTCCACACGAGGATCATCTTTCTTCGCCACATCGACACTCCTCGTCTGATGGACCTAGTGCCTTCAGTCCGGCTGATCAAGGAAGACTACAATCCTTCACGCATCTTACTGCAATGCAGCCTCCCACCTCTGTACAAGCTAATCACGGTAATCTTCAGGATACCGATCGTGTTACTGATCAACTTTACATGGATTCTCTGTACAGTCATCACACAACTCCTACTGGACATCATCATCAAGAACACGATCATGGATCATCAACGCCACATTCACCGGGTGGTAGCCTATCAAGGTAAGTCTAGCCATTAAATATTTTAAACTTTCCAATTTCTTTTCTTTTTTTTTTTCTATGTATTTTTCTTCTCTTATGGCTATCCGTCGCATCGGACAACACGATATAATCGGTAATGTGAGTCATCGGGTTCGTTGACGCCAGTTCTTTTTTCCCCGATACGAAAGTGTCTGGATGATTTGAATCAAAAGAAATATTGCTCAAGAAATCCGAGAGAATAATGACTAAGGGCGATCTTTGATTTATGGCTTATTAATACTAATGTTAGCTTCAAAATTCTTTTATACATTTATAGAAATTTTTTTCTTTCACATTGTTTGCATTTTTTTTTTTTTAACAAAAAGGGATCCCTCCTCGTCTATTTCTTTCTCGATTTCTTGATTTTATCTTTCGTAGGATTTAATCAAACAAATAAACGGAAAATAGATATACCACTAGAACAGTTTAATTTCTCTTTTGTCGCAACGTCGTGGGCGATCGTTTAAAATTGTTTAGTATGATTAAAGCTCACGTTGGTTAGGACATTGAGTAAGTATCGTGTATATACATACGTGTATATATTATATATACGTGTGTGTATTAAGTTGTGCAAGTATTACGACGTTTACCAAACGCAAAAATATTTATATACCGACTGAAAGGCCTGCTGGGAATGTAACCGATCGAAAAGGGTCTTATGTGATGTAGCCGTTACGAAGCCGAAAACAAAGCAAAACCGAAGATGTAAAACTATATGGCTACTTCGTCCTAGGATAACAATTCTTATGAAAGCTTAGAAGGATCTAATCGTATTCTATTTGTTGATTCACAATGGACACCACGAGCCTTTTTTTCTTTCTATTTATATTTTCGTACTTATCATTTGGTTATTTTTCAAAATAAAATGCATAGAAATTCTTATAAAACATGCTATCCATCTTTCGTCGTCAGTTTCTTTTTTTTTTTCTTTTTTATTTTCAAAATATGTTCTTCAGTTCTGGCTACCGGTAAATATATATATATAAATATTATTTATATTTTGAGAAAATTTATATTATTTAGATTGTATCGTAGATTGAGTTAGTGTCAAAAAGGATCTCCTAGATGTTATAACTAATTAGAAATTTATTGAACCTTTTGCACACCGATGACTTTCATTTTCATTTGATTTTACCACTCTAACTTTGATATGAGAATCCGATAAGAAAGTTTATCGACCGATCTAAATGATTTGCCGATTGTATCGCATGTCTCCCCTTTTGATTCTTAGAAAAGAAATAGAGAAAAAGAAAGAGACCGGACGACCGTGATCATTTTCATCACATTACCACACAGGAAGACGTATATATGTATAATACTTATTTTATATACATTATATATATTTGTTCGTCTCTCCCCCGTGCTATTTAATTCATTCAATCAACATATTTCGTTTACATGACTGACTGATTGGTCCACCATTTTTGAATTCGACTATTACAACCAAGTAATCATTATGGCATTTCAAATGAATCACTTTATTTTAAAATGATTCTCTTTCTCAAGGTTTTATATATATATACGTATATCCAAGAGTATATTGAATATCTCGGTAACAAAAGCAACATATTAATATGTGATTCAGTCTCCTGAAAGAACAAAGTCTTCGATAAACATCAAAGTCTAACTTGTTGAATATATGGGTCACAACAGAACGAGACGATCGGTTGTGTTTCTCTTCGAGAGATGTTTGCTGTGATTCATCGTAAAGTTTACAGTCCGCCGCTGGCCAAGACTGTCTTGCTTACTGAGAATTCTAATATATTTAATATATATATAAGATCATTAATTATAGATTTATTTTACATAAATATATTACAAAAATATTATTATATTTTTTTTACATAAATATATTGAAGCTGAATCATAAATTTAATATGATTTTGTTAACGAAAAATTGAACTTACTTTTAAATATATGTATCATTAAAAATTTGAATCTGTTCATTATTCATCACTATCCTAAAACACATATAAGAGAAAAATATTGTATTTAACATTTATATTTGTATAACAATAGAGAGAAAACGGAACAGATAAACTTTATTTTTGTACTATAAAAGGAAAAAAGATGCGGGTTCTAGGTAGCCAGAAAATTGAAAATAATAATGACTGGTCATTTATGGCTTTGCATGTGGCCATTCTTAAGGGCACGTGCCTGTTGGCGGAAATGGCACGAGTTGAAAGCGCGCGTGCGTGAAGTCGAACATCTTATTTCCCTTTATGTTGAATTTTATTTCTTTTCAAACGATACTTCCTTCCCTTTAAAACTTGTCTCTTCTTCTTTTGTTCCTTTTACGTAGTTTGAAGTTAGAAGTTTCGATCTGATTCAATTTGTCTTGAAACAATAAAAACAAACAAAAACCAGTTTATATTTATTTATGATTTTCGTAATATATATTATATTTGTATTTTCTTTTTCCAATTTATTTACTAACTTTTACACACATATAAATACTTTTTTATATTATTTTATTTATATATATATATACTTACGTTTGAATTTACGCATACGAATGTACGTTTCTATTAATTTAAAAAAAAAAAATACGAACAAATATTTAAAAAAATTATCTTTTACTATTATTTAGAAATAAATATTTTATAGAAAGACAAATATATATATATGTAAATACGTAAATAAGATATTCGACGCGTTAAAATTATCGATAGGTTCGATTGTAACCTCACCTCCATCTCCACCTCCACAATGTACGACACCCCTCTTTCCTCCTTTTCCTCCCGCCGACCTTGCATTTTCTCTATCGTATCAGACGAAGAGGATGCGCACGGTAAAACGAAGAAAAAGAGGTGATGAGAGGATACGAGAGGAGAAGAGAATAGTGTTAATGATGTTTGTTTGGTGTATGGGAGTAGTGGGAGAAGCTTGGTTGACGATGATAGGGGCAGGAAGATGGTGGAGTAGGGTGTTGTAGCTTTGTGTTAGTGGCGTTTAGAGAGGGGGTGGCTCGAGTAGAGGGGAAAGAACGGCTGGTAGTCGGTGGTGATACTCAAAGGAGAGCCGCTAGAGAGAGAAAGAGAGAAAAGGAGAGAGAGATAGGTTGAGCAGGAGGAAAGAAAATGAGAAAAAGAGAGACAGGCAGAGAGGAACGGAAAAGAAAGAAAGAGAGAGAGAGAAAGAGAGAGAGGAAGAGAGAGCTAGTGAGTGAGTAAGAGTGAATAAGAGTTAGAAGAATATACCGCAGGAGGAGAAATCCTGACCACCTTCTTCTTCGAGGTCCTCCAACGTCATTGTAGCGACGTTTCGTGCTATATACCAGGTTAGATTCCGTTCAGTTCTTGTCCATTCGTCGAGTGATACGGGAGGAACGTTTATCCTATCATTTCTACGTTCGCATAAGCTGTTTTCTTTGATTTTTCCTTTTCCTTTATTTTTCTACTTCTTTCTTGGGTATATATATATATTTATATATATATATCGATTGTATTTATTTTGATCGGCTATCCCTTTGATCCAGAGAATCCTTCCTTCTATTTTGTTTATTTATTTTTTCTTTACGATCCCTTTTTCCTTTCTTCATTTTTTCCTTATTACTTCTCGCGATAGTGAGGGAGAAAAAAAAAGAGAGGGAGGAAGATAGAGGAGCGATATACTGTTCGCCGATGGAAAATGCAGTGAGTCCTATTTATTTATTTTTGCGCGAATTTTATTTATTTATTCGAGAATCATTAACTTTTTATTTATTTTATCATTATTTTTTCAGTCGTATGTATGTATATATATATATATATATAAATTTGTTTTGTTTTACATTGAGAGTAAAAAAGTATAATTAAACGTTCGTTAATCTCGCGAAAGTTTTCTTTCGAGATCGTTTAAAATAGACGCGATAAATTAGTATCTGCATGGAATTGGCGTGAATTCGCGTTAAAACGATTACGATTAATTATAATTAATCGCGTGCGATACGTTCGTGGTAAATAGATCGATAATTTCGTTCGGATCGTTTCGCGATTGTTTTCTTTTATTTTTATAAATGTTTCTACGTCTTCTCTTCATTGGATTCATCGATCAAGTGTCTTTCAAATATTTGTTGAAATGTTCGTTCCAAATCTCTTGGATATTCACGAAAACATCGTAATTATACTATAACGATAAAGGTTGCGATCAATATTGCGATCGTAAACAAGCTCCTGGAGTAATCTATTACAGTTATGAAAAATTTATCAAAATTAAAAACGTATGATAGGCTATAATCAAAGCAAACATTTAATAATTCGTTGAAAAATAAATACCTTTTAGACAGCTTTGTTTAATGAATTTTAATTAATTATCGTGTCAATTCATGAATTTCTAATGTATCGACGATATGCCAACAACTATTTTTTGAAAAAAAAAATAAAAAAATAAAAAAATAGAAAAGAATATCCTTACCAATTTAAATTTTCAATCTATATTTGTACATATTTATACAATTATGCATTAAAATTGATGTGCCCTTAGCACCAATGCTTATCATATGTTAAAAAAATATTATCGATCCTATTTGATTTTCTATGTGTTCTTTCTTATATTTGTTACACGACCAGAAAAACGTTTACTCAAGCAGGCAGTCATCGATCGAGTGCTTGCTTCTTTCTGGGCTTCCTAATCGTTATCGAAATTGAACAAACATTAGAAGGAACCTTTTACGTATAAAACATATTTATATATACCACGTATAAACTTACATGCACAAATAGATCTTCTCCTTTTTTTTTTTTCATATTTATTTATTTATTTTTCTTTTTTCCTTCCGCTTCTCCCCATAAAGAGTTTCTTTTTTTATATATATATATTTTTTCTTACCTTTCCATACTTACATTTGAAGGGTATCGTGAGAAGTTCCTTATCAGGTCGGTGAATTCAGATAATACGAGGAGTTGAGTAGGGCTCTAACCCTATCATCATCACAAGTATCGTATATTGGATTTCGCGAAATCTGCATTCCTTTGGAGTGAAAAGAGACCTACGTGTTCTCTCTCTCTCTCTCTCTCTCTCTCTCTCTCTTTCTTTCTTTCTCTGTTTCTCTTATTCTTTTATTTTTTTTTTCTTTCTACTAACTGCTACGTGATCAAAGAGAAAAAATTTCGATCTCGACGACGATGTGACAATATAAACAGATGTGAAAAATTTTTTTTTTTAATAATAACTACGACACGTTTCACATATCTTTCTTTTACTTGATAACATTTTAATTGTCCTTCGTTTTAAAAATAAAAATTATTTTTAAAAAAGAAAAAGAGAGGAAAGGAAAGATAATTTAGAATTTTTGTACCTAACTCTTACTTCCAATGAAAACGAATGGAAAATGAAATCATGATTGTGTGTTTCGATATAAACGCGTACTATAGAAATACTTAGAAGTAACTTAATATGTCATGCCATTGAGTCCACCCACGCGTAAACAAGTATGTAGATAATTAATATAGTCATATACGCATTAGAAATTTATATGGTACCATTTCTCTCATTACTTTTTTTTTTTTTTTTGTATACATCGATATTAACATAAAATATTCTACATTCACGTGAAAAAAAACTAACGAAACTATTCCCCTCCGGTGGGAGGAGGGGAGGTATCTTTTATTTTATTCCGTATGTTTTGTTTGTAATTTGGAAGCATCGAAATTTATATAAAAAAATCGATGCGATTGATTGAGAAAAAAATATGCGCTTTCTCAAGTGATTAATCATTTTTTTCTCCTTCTGTTTTATTTTAATCGGTTGTAATTTTGTTAAAGTAAAGGTTTGCAATAAAAATCGGTGCAAATTTATTGAGAGGTAAATAGAGAGAGAGAGAGAGAGAGAGAGAGAGAGAGACAGACAGACAGAGTAAAAAGGGAAACTTAACTGTTCACGTAAAAGAAGGGAACTCCTTTTTTCCGGCATTGGTTTGCATCGAGGAAACGCATTAGCCGTCGTAGTGTTTCGTTCGCATCGTTGCACTGGCAAGCGACGCTGTAAGTTAAAATAATCGCACCCGCGAACGTTTAGACAGAAGGCACGCGTGCTCGGTTCTTGCTAAAGACTTCTGCTTCCTCTTTTCGGTGCGGTACTTTACAAGCTGTTTGCAAACGCGTACTCCTCGAGTAGGTTTTCTTTTTATATATATATGTATTTCTTTTCTTACGCTCTCTCTCTCTCTCTCTCTCTTTCTCTTTTTTTTTCATTTCCGTACAATTTCCGAGACAATTGGTACCGTTAAATGACATCTTCCATTCATTCTACCACTTTGCATCGGCATGCATTCATGTTTTATCAGCCAATAGTAACACAAGCCTCATTCAATTGACAATCATTGAAAATCCTGTTTTTTGGGATGTATCATCATTCGTATTTTTATTATATTTTATATATATAAGAGAGTAGTCATATTATAATTAATTCAATTACAATATTCAATTTTGATTTTGATTTTCAATTATCACGGTAGATTGAACTGTTTTTATACTTTATTTGTTTTAATCGAATATTAATTTAAATTTTACGCAAAAAGTATTGTCGATTAATAATCAAATAAAAATTGCGTTGTTGCTAAGAATCGTTAATTTAGGATTGAAATGAAATACAAAAAGAAAAAAAAATATAATATATATATATATATAAGAAAAAAAGTAAGAAAAGAAAATCATCGTTGGGATCGAAAAGTTGAAAAGACAGTTTAAGGCACGTATCGATGTACCGAAACGTGCTCGCGACGTTTTATGACTCCTCAAGGTCGTGTCCGTATTGACATCTTCACGTGCGTACGCTTGCGCTTGTTTCGCGTTTGTTTGACGGTAAGACGTTACCTTGCTTGCTTTAAAAGAGGCTAAATAGCGAGCTGAAGATAAAGTACTTAGAAACTTTCGAGGATGTGCAATGGGAAGGGAACGAGTCACGTTGGATTTGAACAATTTTTCTCTTAACTCTTTATTGATATGGCACATTGTGACTTGCGTATCGATCATTTGATATTTGGTTTGTCTTATATCGTTTATATATATTTGTTTTTATATTGTTAACATTTTTTAACTATAACATTTTTGTTTTGTTTATATCATTTATAATATTCTCCATATATATATATTTTTTTTCTTTATTAAATTATGTAAGTCTTTTTTAAGTTTGTTTTACTTTATGTTGTATTTTTTTTTTGACTACGTTAGAAGTTTCATTTTGTATTCATGTAAATATTTTGTAGAAGAAATGTATGTTTAAATGAATACAGAATGTTTTTTCGAATATAAGTCACGTTATCGTTTTTTCGTGTCTTTAGTACTTCGTCGAATTGTTTTGAAGGAAGAGCACAGGAAGTTTTTCTTTTTTTTTTTTTTTTTTTTTTTTTTTTTTTTGAGAAAGTAGAAAATATTTAAAGGAGTCGACGTTGTTATCGAGTAGAAAGTGGTATACGGAAAATCGACACTTAGTCGAGGGGTAGGTGGTCACTTTGAGTCGACCTTTAACGCGTTCGCGATAGTTTTAGTAACAAATTCCTGAGAAGTAAGTAAAAAGTAAGCGGTGTGAGTCATAGATGCATTCCTAAGTTGAAACGTTCAAGGTAAAGACGTAGAGAGAACTGTAGTGGCAAGGGATAGAAAACCCTTCGGGAGGTCGTCTGAGGAATTACCCTGCTTTTTCGGCTTTTCTCAGTATTCAGATAAGTTTCAAAGATGCTTTAGGTGAGGTAGACAAAAAGGATCGATAGTGATCCACTTATTGGGGGATCCTCGTGAAAGTGTTTTAACAATTTTCTCAGGTATACATATATTGTATATACAAACAGAACTAACCTTTATTTTTAAAAAATTCAAAAGTTTAGCCGAACTATTAGGTTTTCTGCATTGCTGCAGAAAATCAGGTAGCAAAGAAGAGACCCCCCACTCTGTTTTCTTCTCTCCCTCCCTTAACTTCTTTTTCTGTCTCTTTTATCCATAGTTGGCAAAGGAAAACGTATGCGCAAAAATGGGTACAAGAAAATAAGAGACAGAAAGAGAGAGAAAGAGAGTGCATGGTTAAATGTTAATGGAGTAGTTGTGTCGTCCGACCTGCTGCCAACTAGTTCTGCTTATGGGGGTCATCAAGATAGAAGGAAAGAGGAGAGTTAGATGGAACGACAAAGAGGGGTTAGACGGATAGCGATAGGGATCGGTGGAGAAAAGGGAAGGGAAGAAAAAAAAAAGAGTAAAATCGCGTTCCGTATCGGGCACGTGCCCGCATCTAATGTTGTAAGTCTCGAAAGAAAGTGCAGTAAGCTGTGTTTCCGGGCTCCCGCGAAGGAATACTTCCGGTAATGTTTACCTTTTACGCTAGAAAAGATCTTCAATTTTTACCTTGACTATGAGTTATTTTATAATTTTGTACATTTTTCTTTTTTTTTTCGTTTTTTTTTTTGAATAGACGATTTTAATGATTCTATTTCTATTTGTCAATTATGCGAGATAGTCTTGTTAGAAAAATGAATTTTTTGTTTTCTCTTCATTTAGGTAGGTATTTTTTTAAATTGACTAATGTCTCAAAAAAAATATCATTTTTTTTTTTAAATTGAAATTTAACTCAAGACATAATATTGTTTTAAAATTAGATGATTAATTTAAAAAACGGCCTAATAATTAGTATGTAATACATATGATATAAAACACGCTCGTGATATAGAGAGAACGATACGATCCAGATCTTGAATCAATCGATACGCAGGCGCATTCGACGAGTTTACAAATTCCCTTGGGTAGGGGCGTTCGATCATATATAGATACTTTTAGACAGATTAAACAAACGAAGAAAAAGAAAATAATACTACGAGTTTAAACGTTAGAGGATAGAGACTAATAGATATTCCAACTTCTCGTGTTACAGTTCGTCGTTGTATCGTACGATGGCTGGCGTAGGGACGATTGGTGGTGCTGGTACAGGAACCCCCAGTTACAATTTGTCATACATAACGAATAGTCCAACGGAACTTTCGACTTCTCCACAATTGTGGAACGCTCAAGGTAAGAAAAGAAAATATTGATTATTATTTCTTTTTTAAAATATAAATGAGCAAAATATTTCAAGATTTCAGTAAATTTGTATTTCCAATAGTATGAAGATAATTAATAAATTATAATTAAATTTATTTGTATGTAAATATATGTGAAAGTTAGATATTTATTATAGGGTACATTATACGCGAGGGGATAATTCAAATAAATATTATTTTATTTTGTAGTAACAGGACTTAGTACAACTTTGCCATCGCTCGGAGAAGATTATGGTAGCAGCAAATCTTCTCCAGCGGTGACTCATCAAGCTTTACCTGCTTTCTCGCAGCCTTTTGGAGGAAGATCGAGTTTTCGTGGATATTCGCCGCCATATTCGTCTCAACAAACGACTACGGGAAATAATACGGGGAATGTTGGTGGTGGTGACGCGACAACCTGGACGTATGTCTCGCCATCCAACGATGTTTCTCTGACGTCTCAATACGGCGCACCCTCGAGAAGACAAACTGCCAATCCCCTAACGACGACCACGCATAATCAACTCAGTGCTGCGGCCAGCCTCACTGCGAGTGAGTTATCCATTTTTTTTTATTACTATTTGTTTGTTTTTTAACGGAATCTCGATCATTCGTAATTATCGTTCGACACGATTTGATTTTTCATTTTTTTTTTGTCGATAAAAGAAATATTATTATTCAATAATTTTGTATATAAAAATAATATATTGTTTTATTATTTGATGTATATATATATTATCGAGATTCCGTAGTATGCTTTTTTCTCTCTTTCAATTTGCAGGTTAACGGAATAATATTTAATCGATTTAAAATTATTTGAAACCTTTGAAATATGTCTAATCCCTTGACGTACTTTCCTAAGTTTTCGAGTTTTCGAAAGTATTTTCCTAAGTTTCCACCTTTCCATGGCTCATTATTACCGCATGAATAAGGAATTAAATAATGAGAAAAGCTGGCAAATTGTTGGTATAGATAAATATCGTGGATTGTAGTGTAATTATGAAAGGAAATTTATAGTTAACCTTTTTCTAAACGAGCAAGAGCTTAAGTTCAAATAACTGTTTGATGAACGTCGTTAAAAGGTTTTAAAACGAATTTTAATTGACGTATCTTTTGGAATGTTGTACATATTAAATGAAGTATTAAATGAAATTTCTTTTAGCTTAGATATACTTTGTTGATATTGAAATATCTATTAATTAACGATTCTCGTAATTATTCATCAGATCAAGTTAGAATTTATCGAATATTTTTAATCTCACACTTATAAAAAAAACAGAATAATATATTTTTCTTGAATTAAATTAACTTATACGTTTCTTTTATAATAACAAATTCTTGAAATTTATTAACTGCAATTATTAAATGCAACGAAATTCCGTATGTAGAAAAATCGTGATTATGGTAGCAATATATTTATCTCGGTTTTTTTCATATTCCGTAATTAAATGAAATCGATGCACACGATTAATTTTGCATATTCTCACGGAGAAGATTAACGAATATTGCAATTTTTACGTTATTACCGTTTCGTCGTTAAATTGTTGATAAACAATTTTTTTTTTGTTTCCATTTTTTTTCTGTATTTAAAATAAAAAAAATATGATGAAAAAAAAAAAAAAGAAAAGAATACAGAAAGAAACGTAAATATAAATTAAAAGGAAATAAAGATATAAAATTGATGACATTTGTAAACGAATCGAATTTTGAGGAAGAAAATATGGGCGTTGTGTGTGGGCTTAAAGTGTTTGGCCAATTTTCACGCCGACATCAAAGGTTTAACACTATCCGAAAACGTTAGGTAGGTCACAATGCAGACTGAAATGAGAACCGAGTTTGAGTTAAAAGGGCAGGTCATTTTTTAAGTTTCTCCTTCTCTATATATATATATACATAAATATATGTATACTAGTATTGATGACATCGGTAGGGTCGTTCTACCTACTCGCAGTTTTAGGTAACTTCGGCGAAAGAAAAGTTCGGGCGGCTTCGTTTGATAGGAAAACTCTGCGGCCTTTCTTTCTCATATTATTTTTTTTATTTCGATGTTTCTGTCATCGTAAGCGCCTTCCTTTTACATTTTCGTACCGGCATCGAATAGAATCCTATCAACGTGTTTCGCTAAAGAATTGTATTATTATATTAACTATTATTATGTATATTATAACGAAACGCGAGTGTTAAATTGATATTAAAAAAACATTTGGATTTGAAAAATTCTGCAATTAGCGTCAATAATTATTAGGAAAAATACTACAGTTCTTATATTTGTGAGATCGTTAGGATGATTTGTGAGTTGTGATTTATCTTATTTCTTTTCATTTAAACAACAAAAAAATATTTTTCGTATTTCTTTACACATTTAGAATGATACACGCGAGGAGAAGAAAAATGAACGTTAAATTATTTGAACACCGTGAAAAGTGTCGTGTTTCAAAGCTCGTAAATTAGGTGAGTGGTAGAAGGAATGGAAAGGATACGATGTTTTCCAATTTTTTTCTGTCTTGGTGGGTTGAAATCGACCGTTACTAGGGTGGTTGTTCCAATATTCTCATCGTTACAACTAATTTTTCTGACTCACTAAATAAAACATAAATGAGAGGATGAACATTTTCAACTTACTTTTACCTTTTCTTTATTTCTTATATATTTTTTTCGATATATGATCGAATGGTTGTATATTCTTCTTATAGGAACACTATTTTTTTATTCTATCTTTCTTTCTCCAAGTCGAACGAACGGGATATATTGGTAAAGATTTACTCGGAGGTTTTTATCGAGACCTCTCGGAGATAAACCCGAAAAAAAAAATTTATCTGTGTCTCGGTTCAGTTGCAGTTGGTCCGTCATCACGATACAAACACAAATCTTTATTTAGTATTTTTCATGCTTTTCGAAAAAAAAAAAGAAAAAAATTGAGAAATCCTGTGTCGATTTTGAAACGATTTTCTAAAAATATTTTATTATTATCTCAAAAAACAATAATATATTAAATTATTGGATCGGATTGTTAAATGATTCTTTTTTCATTTGCATTCGTATTTAAAAAAAAAAAAATAAAGTCATTAGAAGTTGCATGAAAAATATATCGATCAAGATAAATGTCTAATCATCATTTTCACACGACACGCACCTGATGAGTCAAATCCTTGTCGATGACGTCAGACTCTCTAAAGAATACCTAAGAACTTAAATACAATATATTGAGGCCAGTCATTGGTTTGGCCCTGACCTAGGTAAAACGTTTCCTACCTAATCTAGTTGTGTCTACAGGCGATATAAGAGGTAACGATAGGGCTGTATCTAGTCGCGGACACGCGACTGTTTGCGATAATTTTTGATATATTATATACGTTTTCAAAGCATCGTGTAACACCTAAAATATCTAATCGGCTATAACCGGTACTTTTAAGAAGTCACAAAACATGATGGCGCTATTGTTTTTTTCTTTTTTTTTTTCTTTTCTTTTTTTTAATGAATTAATTTTTTTCATCGTAGAATGTATAAAGATTTGATCCTATTGTATAAACTAATTAAACAAAAAGCAAAAAAAAAAGAAATTCAAACAAAATATATACGTTCGTTCCTGGTTTTGAATAAAAAAAAAAAACGAGATTATATTTTTTATTCTTTTTACGTTTAATTAAATGTTCAGGTATACGTTATTAATTGTTATTGATAATCGTTAAGTCATTCGACGATGAAAGTTAAATGATGGGATATTTATTTTGTTTCTTTTTTTTTTCTTTTAAAGTTACGAAGATTAAAGTGCGAATCGTACGAGTAAATTACACGATCATTGGAGAGAGAATTTTGATCACTTCAATTCGAGAGATAAAATTCAACGCGATAACTTCAGTTAATACCCTAATTTCCTTCATATTCAGCTATAATAATTACTTATTTTTATTCTGATATCATCGTATTAAAGAAAAAGAGAGAGAGAAGAGAAAAACATAAGAATCGAACGAGTTCACAGAGGTCGATTTCTTTATTTCTAAACCGATGATGAAATCTTCGGTATTAAAAAGAAATAAAAAGAAAAGGGTTAAAGACGTTGAAGTAAAATATATTTTTTCGTTTGGTACATATTTTTCTCCACCCAAGCAAATCAATTTGTTCGCCAAGTGAAAATTTTCCCGGCATCGTTCCCATGCTTCTCTGTCAAGTGCCTTTGACTTCTTCATTTCTTCATTTTTTTTTTGTATACTCTCCACTTTAAGAAGTAGTCACACTGAGGGATAAACTTCAAAGTAACTACACCGCAAGATTCGTATCGTTAGGTTACGTGTATTTTGATGAAATCGTTTAATTAGAAATCATCGATATATTGGGTTGGCAACTAAGTGAGTGCGATTATTTCGACAAAATCCGCAATCACTTATTTGCCAACCCCTATATTAATTTAGTTGGTTTAGCTTTGACAATTTCAAGGTAAGCAACGGTTCTGTCTCATAGATTTAATGCAGAGAATGCATGGGGTGTTGTTTTTGGTTTCTTTCGCAGGACGCACGTAGAATCAAGTTTTCGAGGTGGAGGATAGTAAGAACGAAAGAAAAAGAGAAAGGGGAGAGAGAGAGAGACATTAGAAAGCTTTAAGTGATTCTTCTTTAGGGTGTTTCGAGTCTCTGTGGTTACACATGCCGCAATTGAAAGAAAGAAAGAGAAAGAAAGTGAGAGAGTATACATTCAAAAAGCCAGAAGCGAGAGACTAGAGACACTTCTAACATACCGCTAGCAGCAGCCTACTTGAGTGTTCTGTACGTGGTCGAATCTTTCGATTTAAGTTTAACCGCAAGCAGACACCCACCTAGAGAAGAGAGAAGAAGAAAAAGCTTCCAGTCATCCTTCTACTAATTTCTTTTCTCTCTCTTTTCTCCTTCGATCGAAATTTGTATAAGTTTGTGTGTACATTTACGTTTAAATGTGTGCTGCTTGTGTGTTAACGTACCATCGTGCATCATCCTGAAGGAGCCCTGCACGTGGCCAAGCTCAAATTAACAAACCACTTGCTTTTCTCCTAAAGCTTCAGCTGTTCAGCTAACCTATAAATATTCAAACGATATATTTATTTTCCACTTGGAGATTAAAAATTGTGATCGGTAGGAGAAAGGTTATGAAAATTAATGAAATTTATTTGACTTATTAATTATGAAGAATAAGTAATTGTTAATATGTTGATTGTGTCAAGTCAGATTTGCATTATGGGAAAGCACAAGAAAATAATACACCGTATTTAATTATTTTAATCTAAGACATAATGTTCTCGTGAACATTTTTCATTGTTGAATAGTGCATTTTTGATGTCTATAGTATTCTCTAACTAGCTATGACGTTATTCATTTTATTTCAATTATTTAAACATTTAAAACGGTCCGATCGCTTATGATCACTGCTGTAATCCTTTATGGGTCAACGTGTTAAAATTTCTTTTTTATTAAACGCGAAAAGAGAATGTTTAGAATGAGAAAGAGAAAAAAAATCAAGGTTATCAACGGTGTCGCATAAACGTGGGCGTGCAACTTGACCATACGTTTGTACGTTTTCCTTTGGAGTAAGAATAAAAAAAATAATAAGAGAAAGAGAAAGAAAGGGGAGAGGAAAGAGAAAAGGAAAAGGAGAAGGGATCGTTTAATCCACTGTGTCAGCTAGTTCATGCTAGTTCAGCTTATATAATATCCAATGGCTTCCCAGTCCGATTTTGCCCCTATCTTCTTCAGGAGATTCTCGTGTCCTCTGACCTCTTCGTCGTTGTTTCGCCATGGCAATGGTAACTTGATACAAACCTTCTCATCCTTCTTATTCTTTTTCTTCATCTTCTTCGTCTTCGTTTTCGTTTTCGTTTTCGTTTTCATCTTTGTCTTCGTCTTCGTCTTCGTCTTCTTTTTCTTCTTCTTGTCATTTACTTCTTACAACTAATTCTTCTCAACGTCGTTGTTTTTTCTTCAATGTAATAAAATATTAATTAAAGTAATAAATTCTTGGTAAAAAAAAAAAAAGAACAATGTTATATGCTTCATTGATTTTTTAATGTTAATTTTTTATAGCTTAATTTTGTTCTTTGTATGAAAATTAAAATATTACTTATACTAGCGTGAACAATTTTATAGATACCAAGTAACAATTATATTACTTATGATAAAATGAACAATAAAAAAATGCATAAATTTGTGATTTTAATGTTATAACAAATTAACGTATTGGTATAAAACGGATAAACAAATAAATAATGAAAATTAGAAAATATCTAATTGAAACACTAAACTCTTGATTTCGTATTACATTGTTTGATTTTAGAAAAATGTTGATTTTGCTTTGAGGGATGTGATGAGTTTATTGGCTCATTAGGTTTGTTATTTGTGGGTCAAGGTGGCGTCATAAAGGCGCGAGAACGCAATTCGATTCTATCAGAGCTCAGCACACCAGCTTCAAGTCTGTCAGAGTATGCAGACCGAGAGTTAGTAAAGTTCGTAGGACTCGTTCAGCGTCAGCAACTTCTTGCTTACCTACACACGATATCCGATTGCTTTCCAGTCAGATTTCTGTCGTCAGTGCGAGTACCGTCCACTGACCTCTTCGTCCTCTTCTTATTCTTTCTCTCTTTCTCTCTGTCTTTCATTCGTCGAATAATGCGAGATGTGAGATCTTTCTCTTCTTTCTCTTTTTTCTTTTTTTCCCTTGGAGTGTGTCGCTTTAATACCAAGAAAAATGATCTACGATGTTTAAACGTAAAATACAATAGTTCATGCGATGCGATCAATTAAAAGGAGATTTATAGATCCATCGAATATACGAACAATTAATATCACTAGTGTAAATTATTTTTCTTGGTCACATGCGTTCCTGTTAAAGTGAAATTATTTATTTCATATTTATGTGACGTAAAAATGATGTTTTGATTCAATTGAAAATTTATTACTTTTATGAATAATATAAAAATCCGAATTTGCATTGATTCGATCGAAGAAATTCTTCAATCGAACTATATTTGTAATATTAAATTTGTGTAAAAAAAATTCAGGTAGTCACGAACAAAGAGTTGGTTGGTTGAACGAACGAAGTATATACCGAGGTGATTCTTCGGTTGGTGCTGAACTATTATCGGCAAACACCGGAAATTCCGATAAAGCCATGTCCGTCATTCTACGTATATACTCCCCTTTCCTCATATCCTACTTCCTGCGTCCTACATCCCTTTTTCCTTCTTTATTTCATATTTTCATAGTCGTCATTCTTGTTCCACAGTCATCCTTTGATATTTTTTATAATTTATATTCGATATAGTATCGATCGAGAAATATATATTATATTTTTCACCAACAATATTGATAAATTGCTATTGTTGATCAATTCGATCAAACTATTTTTATTTCTATTTTTTTTCGTAGGATCGTTAGGTCCTTTCACAAAAAAAAGTTGAATGTTTCATTAATACGATAATCGAATCGCAGTTTCTAAAAACAAAAAAAAATCATTGAATTTAAATGTGTCGAAAGAATGTAGAAATTTTGCCTCGAGGTTAAAGGAAAAGTACTGGGGAAACTCGGAAAAAAAAAACAAATTCATCGATAAGTTTCTATATTTTTTTTAATGAGAATTTTGTAAAAGTAGCAATTGATCATTTTCCTCTTTTATTATAACGGAAGAGAAAAGAAGGAGAGACAAAAATGATAATAGAACGAACTCGTGGAATATCACGTTTCTTTCTCTCATTTTCTCTCTCTCTCTCTCTCTCTCTCTCTCTCTCTCTCTCTCTCTCTCTCTCTCTTTTCCTCTTTTGCGTGTTATATACGTCATTGAGTATTAAAACGCGTGGAAGTATGCATATTCATGCTCACGTATAAATGGGAAAAGAGAGAAGGAGAAACACTTTGGACGAACGCGGACAATTATTGTTTCCAAGTTAAAAGAGTGGAAGGAGGCCACACGATGGTGCACGTACGTTACATTGCATAACATACACACTCTTTCTCTTTTTCTCTCTCTCTCTCTCTCTCTCTCTTGCGAAATTACAACAACATAAAGTTAAAATGAAATCAGATAAAACTCATAATTCGGAAGTCCGCGTTAAACAAACACACATACACATATGCATATTTATTTATTTATCGATTCGCCTGCTTTTCGAAAAAAAAAAAAAAAGAACAAAAAAGTAAAAAGAAAAAAAAATATTTACGTGGATATACACGAGCCACTCCCACAAAGTTCATTTACCTTCTCTGTTTTTTTATTTGCAAATCCCTATCTCCTGTTTCGTTAAAACATGTTCCTCATCTACAGGCACGAACGAAATACGTATATAACGTAATGCAGTTTCGTCGTAAATCTATCGAAAAAAAAAAAAAAAAAAAAAAAAAAACGGACAGAATTGTGAAAAGATAAAAAAAAAAAAAAAATACAATACAAATAAACAAACAAACAAACAAAATCCAAAATAATGCCAACACAGTGCACAACATCGAGGCGGAGTACTTTACGGAGGGTCGCGAGTGCGTGAACTGTGGGGCAATTTCCACACCCTTATGGCGAAGGGACGGTACCGGACACTACCTCTGCAACGCATGCGGTCTCTACCACAAGATGAACGGAATGAATCGACCTCTGGTGAAACAACCACGTCGTCTGGTAAGAATGGGGACCCGCTGAGATGGTACAAATCCTTTAATCCATCTCGATACTCAGAAAGGGATGATAATTTTTGCAAGCCGATGATTTGGACAATACTAAACGATGTATTCTTTTTTTTTTGTTTTTTCTTTTTTTTTTCCGTTAACATATTATTCTATCATTTCTATTTCCTTTTTATCTTTCGTTGCATTTCTTTAACACAACTTTATTCCGTCATTCGGAATCTTGGAGCTTTTTTTTAAGTTTCAATTGTAATTTTTTTTTTTCTTTTACCATTATATTTGTTACTCGATAAAAATAATTAATAATATGAACGATAATGAGGTATTACTTTGTGTCTTTCAAACCGTTGGCTGCAAAATATTGCGATAACATAGCAGCTCTAGAAAAGAGAAAGCTAACCAAAAGAGAGGGTAAAGAGTGCGTGAGAATATCATAAAGAGGGGGATGCGAAAAGAAACGAGAAGAAGAAAAAGCATTCGGTTATTTCCTTCTTCTCGTGGTGTCCAGGAGCCTATGTGGAAATTCGCCTGTGGTATATAGAAGACGGACAACATTTTTCGTTCATTATTATTCTCTTCCTCCTACCCTCCTACATTAACCAAAAAATAATAATAATAAGAAAGAAAAAGAAAAAGAAAATGAAAAAAAAAAAAAGAAGAAAATAATAATAAAACAGAACAGTCGAAATAGGAAGAAAAATGTCGACGTGTCAACTTATCGTTAAATTTTGTTTAAATCCTTTCCCCGCCCCCCCCCTTAAATCCTTTTCCCCCCTCTTTTCCTTTCACATACAATTCGTTTCTCCTGACTAAGGGATAAAAGCAGACCAAAATAAAAAATAAAAAGAAAAAACAAAAAAGAGATAAATAGTAATCAAAAAAAAAAAAAAAAAAAAAAAAAAACGGAGAAAAAAAAAAAAAAAAATGAATAAAAAAAAGAAGAAAGTACGGTTTCCAACACGTACTCCTGGGACAAGAATAAAGGAAACACAACCTCTAACATTTGACCTCCTGTCTGTTTCAGTGGCGGNCCTTTCCCCGCCCCCCCCCTTAAATCCTTTTCCCCCCTCTTTTCCTTTCACATACAATTCGTTTCTCCTGACTAAGGGATAAAAGCAGACCAAAAAAAAAAAAAAAAAAAAAAAAAAAAAAAAAAAAAAAAAAAAAAAAAAAAAAAAAAAAAAAAAAAAAAATAACGGAGAAGAAAATAAAAAAGAATGAATAAAATAAAGAAGAAAGTACGGTTTCCAACACGTACTCCTGGGACAAGAATAAAGGAAACACAACCTCTAACATTTGACCTCCTGTCTGTTTCAGTGGCGGATCAGGGCGAATTCTACAAAGGCTTCTGTGGGTATAGTGGCGCCCCTCGCGCCTTCGAGGAGAAATCGAGCCGTCGTTTGGTAGGTGTCATCCCCCAACTCAGCACTCTGTCACTCTCTTTTTCTTTGTTTTCTCATTTTCCTTTAACCATTTCTTTATTTATCATTAGTTTTGTCTTATTTCATTCTATTATATATTTTTCACTTCTTTTCCTCGATCCTATATTTTTTGATATGTTGTGCCACCCTCTCTCTGTCTTCATTTCATATTTTTTTCCTTTCTCTTTTTCTCTTTTTCTCTTTTTATTTTTATTTAGTTTACGTATGTATATATATATATATATATACATATATATATTATATCTCTTGTTATTTCATCGACTTTATATTTATTTTTTTATTTATTTCTTCCGACAAAAGATCACACTACCTTATTCGTCTGTCAATCTTTTTCTTTTTTTCTCTCTCTCTCTCTCTCTCTCTCTCTCTCTGTCTTTGTCTATGTCTATGTCTTTACCTTTACTTGTCCTTTTCCTTTTCTCTTTCTCACAATCACTATTTCTTTCTCGTAGAAAATCCGTCGTAGCTTCGAGGTGCCACTATACCCATGGTACACAAGCACTCTCCTTCCTGAAATCACGCGCGGCCTGTTCAATTAGCCGTTCCAAATGTTTTGACGATCGATAGATCATTATGAAATATTTTGTTAAGTTTCTTAAAACATTGGATAAATAAAATATTAAAAAATAAAAAAAAAAAAAAAACAAAAAACAAAAAAAAAACAGAAATACCATCGTTCTAACTTATTAGATAATTGAGTTTTTAAAGGCACGCGTGCGTGACTTTACGAGGTGAGGGTGTGGTCCGTCTTCTTTCCTACTTTAAACGCGAAATGTCTGTCCCTTGCACAGAAATGGCTTAACCTGAGATCTTTTATTGCGATATATTAGATCTTTTAATGAAATTTCCATTTTGCAGGACAAGTTAAAACTTTCAGTATTGTATCGCATATAATTTGCGGAATTGTGCAAGCGGCCTTTTTTTCCCTCTTTTTTCGTTTGTTTTGTTTTATTAGATACTTTTTTTTTTAATTTTTTACTTTTTCTTATTAAATTAACGAAGATCAATGGCAGAAAGCAGGATACAAATTTGATATAAGAATTAATTGAGATAGAAAATAATCCTGCTTTCTCGAAATTATAAAAAATCTAATTTTTCTCTGCTTCTGGAATCGTGTCTCGTTATTAGATTATCGTATCCAACGATGAAACTCGACGAAATTCGACGAAACTCGATGAAGGAAAAATAAGAGAAAAATCAAATAACTTGATCGACTAATCAACTTTTTCTTTCCGCAGTCAGCTTCAAGGCGCGTAGGGCTCTCTTGTAGTAATTGTCAAACGACTATGACGTCATTGTGGCGACGAAATTCCCTGGGCGAGCCAGTTTGCAATGCTTGTGGTCTCTACTACAAACTGCATGGTATCAATAGGCCGATAACGATGAAGAAGGATAGCATTCAGACTCGTAAGCGTAAACCCAAAGGTGGCATGAAGTCCTCCGATACTCCAATTACTATCAAACGTGGGATATGTTCGAGCAACGACTTAAAGCAAGAACCAACAGGTAGGTTCTATCTTCAAACAAGTTTCATTTCCCACGATTAACTGACTCTTTCAAACGGTAAACATCATTTGCGATTGCACCTATTGTACTTGCATACATGCATACTTACAAAGATAACTGACCTGCTTTCATTCGTTTCACGAGTAAAAGAAAAAATAGTACAAACTGTTAAGGTGTATACAAAATTTTCATGGTTTTTTTTCTTCTTTTTTTTCTCGAGAAATAAATTGAGAAAGGTACGATGCGTTTAGCGGACAGTTATCTTTACGTAAAAATATGCTAAATTTGATAAATGAAATATGCTAAATGTCTATAAACTAATGAAAAATTTTGTTTCGATTCACAGACAACTTTGATTTAAGGATGGTCCACTCAGTGATTCCTCAAGTGACATATGCCAATGCTCTTTATAGTGGTACTCCACAATCTGGCAATCGTTTGGTCTCTTATCGCTCAGCAACACCTAGCGGTCTCTACTACGAAATGATTAATTCTCAACAGCAGCAACAACAGCAACAACAGCATCAGCAGCTCATAGAAACTCATTCGCCGAAAGTCGAGTGTCCCTCACCACCTTGTGCAACTCATTCACCAGGAATGATGTCAGCAGGACATTCACCCGATCATCATCAACTTACCTCACCTCATATTGTCACTCTTGGCAATTCCTCCCCCAGTTCAGCAGGTAGTAAGATCATGTTGGACAATGGGCACCTCGAGAGAGCCACCGTTGTTTCGATATCCTCTTAAAAATCTCATATTATTGATAAGATTATTGAATACAAATCTCAATTTATGGGGCTCATTACAAAAATGACAAGCTCGATTTCGTAGACATCCAAATGAGTTGTTATTTATCGTAAATAATTTTAAATTTGACTCTAATAGTTCCGTTACTGATTTTTCCGATTATTTAAGTTAAACAAACAAAAACAGAACAGTTATAAATAGACTTTCCGATCACTATTGACAAATTTGATGAGAGTTGATGAAAAGAAATCAAATCATTAGGTTTGGGAATAGTCAAATTTTAATGTGGGTTATTCTGTTATTTGTTTCATTTCTTTTTTTTTAAGAAGTTAGACAAAAAAATATATTTTATAAATACTTTTAGAGAAAAGTACGGCCAGAGAGAGCCGTACAATGTTTCGCAATTTTAAAATATTAGTTTAGATTTCAAGTTAAATGTTGCAACGTAATGTTTAATTATAAGTTAAACTTAAGCATCTCAGAAATGTGTGTATATAATGGTTTGGATGGTGTTAATTTAGGTTCTTGTAAATATCATTATAAGTCTGAATTTGATGTTGTTCCAAAATATACATAACTTTTACTATTATTCATTTTTTCGAAGTTGAGAAAATATTTTTGATGACCAACTTCGGAGTATCTACGCACATATTTAAAGATTTTATTGGAACAAAAATAAATTCATGGTAATATTTTGTTTTTAAAATTTCAAATCAAAATTACTTTCTAAGAAATGTAAGTATGGTGTCTTCTTTTTTGTACATTTATTGAAAACTAGAAAAGCGTATATAAAAGAAAAAAAAACAAGAAAAGAAAAGTAAAGCGAAAACAGAAAAATATTTAATTAGATTTTTTACAAATTTTTTAATGAAAATATCGATCTCGTTTCGACTAATCCGATGAGAGTTCAATAAACTTAAGCTTCGAGACGTACGATAACGTGAAGGCGTGCAAAAGTTATCGCTTCTTCTTTTCTTTTTCTTCTTTTTCTTGTAAACAGTAGCCAAATAAGAGCCGAGACATCCGTTATATGTATAGGAAATGTGTCAGAGTCAATGTCAGATTTTCTCCACATTGTACTTTTAACTTGTAACTTTTTTTTTTTTTAAATTTCCCTTTTATTACTTTCTTTTACTAAAAACAAAAGAATGTTTAAAAAGCAGCTAGCTTTTCAAGACAGATAACACAATCGACTCTGACGTCTCTTTGAACTTTGTAAATAATTATAAAAAATATTTTTAAACGTTAAAATTTTATCTCTTGACTTTATTTTTTATTCGTAAGATTTAAAAATAATTATCTTAAGATATTAGAAGTAATGTCATCGTTATATAAAAACGAAGCATAAACTTTCTCTCTTCGATCGATTGTTAGAGTACAAGAACCTATCAATAATCTTTATAAATAAAATAATAGTTTGTAACGATATAGTAAATGATGTTTGTTAATGTAGTGACGGGCGCACAGACATCATTAAAAAATTCTATACATTTTACCTGACCAACAAACATGTTAATATATTTCACGTAATATATTTCTCAGAGTGTTGTATCAGGTAATTTCAAATATTTTTAAATAAAAGGGTATATTTAAAAGATAAATAATAGCGTCATTTTTTCTTAATTGTTCTTGTCAAAGTTCTAAGATGGGATGGGGGATATAAACATCAATGAAGAAAAGCTTAACGACTATTAAATTTACTTTTAATTGATTTTTTAAATGATAGGTTATACCAATATATCGCAAATCATCGCTAAATAAATGATTATCGATAATTAAATTAACATTCAATAATATTATTAAACTTATCGAGATCCAAATCAAATTATACGATTAAAACGCGAGTTATCGATCGAGCAAGTTAAAATAATGATAAAGGCGGGAAAAATTTGAAAGGTTTTTTTTTGGTAAAAAAATATTAAGTAATTTTTGATGGTATATTTTACTGTTAGTTCGAATTATGGGAAGTCTCTCGACCTAAATAGATAATCACTCATGTCAGTTCCATTTCTGCTTCTTTAACAGCATGGCCGTCTCACCTGAACGTGTCGTACTCTTAACACGGAGGGATTCAGTGTTTGTGCTCCGTTACCATAACAACGCCTCCCCTTTCTTTGATAAGAGAGATTCCAAACTCGATGCGTCCCCTCATCTACGGGCATGCGCCAGATTGTCTCTCTCAACCAAAAGAGAACAAAATCTTCAACACTGATTCTACCTGGCTATACATATAACGCTATCTCACACGCACATGAGAAACACATGTATACAAAAAAGAGGAAAAAAAAATATTGCGTAGAGTTTGAGTACTACTTTGCTCTTGTTTACTTTCTTCAATCCTACGAATTAGAACAGGTGATTACAAGATGGCGTCACATTTTCGTCAATCAAACTACCGCGAATGAAAAACATCGAGAATATCTCAGAAAACAAAATGTGTTAACATATATCTCGATGATCTATATATATATTGTATATACGAATTAAGGGAAACGTTCTCGAAATGATAAGAAAAAATAAAAGTATTTACTCTCCTTTCATCGTTCTTGGATGGATCACAGGATTTATGACCTGAGAACATATAACGATGATTCTGATTGTAAACAGAGTGACGAAAGAATTCGGTGCATCGAAAGAGGATTACTATAGAACCGATAGAAAATATAAAGTATCATTATGTGTACTTTCGATAATAAATTCCAAGTTCTTCGAAGATGATATCCTGTCTGTGCAAACTTGAACGATACGAAAACAGAGATACAATATATCATTTACACAATTTTTGTACAAAAATTAGATCGTTTATCGATGATCGATCTAACAATTAGTTATTTAAATCAACAGAGTTTCATTGCAATAATTATGATACATCGATAATTTTTGTAAATTATTCAATGAATTTCTTATAAATATTCCAAAACCCCTAATATTATTATGTACATAGAAAAACATTAAGTTTAAGTACAAAAATGTATCGTTAATAAATTAAAAAGTAATGAATAGAAGAGAGAGAATCGAAATGGCGGAAGAAAAGGGAGGTATAAACCTACAAAATGGCGCGAGGTGTAGAAAAAAAAAGGGTAAAGAGAGTAGTGGACAGAAGGTGGTTGTCGATCAATATTTGAAGGGGACTCGGACCGAATCGTAGCTTCGATACGACGCTACCAGGCGGCAGCCGTGGTGTGGTATCATCCAATTCTCCATCTATCTATCTCTTTTTCTCATTTTATATTGCTCACTCTCGTGCACCCACCTTGGGAAGAGTTAACGCGCACCTGTGTCAAGCGCAAACACTCGCGAGGCGTCGCGGACGCACGAGCGCATGGAAAGAGTGCTACGAAAAAGAGTTAGACAAAATTTCATCCTGTTGACGTGAATTTAAAAAAAAAAATAAGAGAGACAGAGAAAGAGAGAGAGACAGAGAGAGAGAGAGAGAGAGAGAGAGAAGTAAGGAAAAGAAAATTCAAAAAATATTTAAAATAGAAATTCAAAGATTCGAATATACGAAAAAACAAAGAGAAAAAATTCGAGAAGAGAAAGAGAGAAGAAGATTTTCGAGAAGAAAATAAAAAAGAAAATAAAAGAGCGAAATAAAAAGTGAAAGAGAGAGAGAGAGAGAGAGAGAGAGAAAGATAATTTCGAAAAAATCTCATTAAAAAGGAGAACAAGTACGACGACTCTCACCGTTCATATTTTATCCTCTTCTAACGGAGCCGTCACAAACGTAAGTTACGTTTAACATAGTTTATTTGATTATTATTATTAATTAAGCAAATAAAATTGTTCTCGAACATCGAGATCACTTTCCATATTTGCAACGATTTTCACGTTTTAATTTTTATTTCTTTTTTTTTTTTTTTTTTTTTCTTTTTTTTTAAATACTTATATTACTATAAATACGGATTATATTGGTAATATTTCGAAAGTAGGAAAAAGGGAGAATCCACAGAGGAAACATACCTACGCGACGAAGCTGCACGTGCTCTTCTATTTGCTCTTGCTCCGGTTGACGTGTTCTCCATTCATTTTTTTTCTTTTTTTTTTTCTCTCTGTAAATATATTTTCTTGTTTTATTATTTTGTCACGTTTCCCTTAATTCTTCCTCCTTTCTTCCTAATCGCTTGTTATTTCGATATCGAAAATATCTAAAAAAAAAAAAAGAAATAAGTAAAGCAATCGTTATAATGATCTAGATCCTAATGATTCTTACAGAATTTATTTTGAATTTTGGTAGTACTCGTTTTGTCGATAGATATTATTGTTATTGAAAAAAAGAAAAGACGAAAGAAAGAAATGGCGATCTCTCGACAAATTTTCGTCGTTTTCCTTTATCGATGTCCTTCATTTTTCTTCATGAAAGAAGAACCGATCGAGGTCACGAATTAGAGAACGGGAACGACTCGAACGAGATCGACGGGAAGAGAATATCGAACGTTCAGACGCGTGCACGAATACGGAACACTTGTGTTTTATGTACGATCAAACTCAAGCACACACTTGTGTTTTCGCGTACGAGGAAGCCTATGCGACTCAACCTAAACGCAGATTCTCTCTCTTTTTCTTTCTCTCTCTTTTTTATTTTTTTTCTTCATCATCGATTTACATCGTGATTTATGCCCGTTCGATATATATATATATATTTTTTTTTTTGTGTTTCTCCAAAATCTACAAAACACGTTTCGACACTATCGCGCTCTTAGGAATCATTTTATTATGATCATTTACATATCATTATAATAATTTTAGATAACAAGGTTTCATTAAATTTCATCGTAAAATCATATTTTTCATTTTCTTTTTGCTTACGCGCTTGCCTGCTCTTTTATTATATTAAATATAAATACATATTAATAAATTATATAAAAAAAATACAAAATCGAAGAGAGTTCCATCCTTGACGATGGAAAATCCCGAGTAGGGTACAGCGTGATCGTATCGATCGATTGATCGGATCGATATCATCGAAAAAAAAAAAACGTCGATATCGTCGAGTACATCAGGGACAATTAATTTCGTGCTCCGCCATTTTTATTTTTCGCGCACACTCACTCGGATTTCTCTCGTTCTTGATTAGTTTTCTTTTTTTTTTTTGGTTTCTTGGTTTTTTTTTTTTCTTATATCATATTTATATATACATGTATCAACACTTCACAATGATCGATCTCATTTGACGATGAAACACGTCGAGTCTACCGTGACGAGAGAACGATATATTTGTTATTTTCTCACGGTTAGGGAACAAACAAAATGGAGAAAAGAAATGAATTGAGAAAGGGTAAAAGGTAAGGAAACGTCGTGTTCCTCGCGAAGTCCAAGACGAAACTATTCGACGTTAGGAGGAGATATAACCGAGAGAGCGCAGATAATATTTTATTAATCATTAAGCACATAGCCGTCGGTGCGTATAAGATAATGGGAATAATATCAGGCAATGACGATAATACTGTTTGTCGTGCACGTTAATTATTGGTCCGCGAGTTTAGTCGCGAGACGAACGCCCCGTCGGCATTAAAGTCTACCGTTTTTCATTTTCATTCTATTTTTATTTTCATTTTCATACATTCATTCACGTTATTTTACTGATCTGGCAATATCTCTCTGTTTGATCAAATTAATCAAATTATTATATCACATTAATCGTATATACTATCCGCGTAGTAATCTTAATATCAAGATCATCTTATTTGAATTTCATATTATCTACTCCTACAAGTAAAAGGAAAGGAAGACGAAAAAGAACAAAAATTAAGATGGTTCAGAATGAATAATTGTTCAAAGTTCATTATAATTAATCTATCTAATTCAAATATACGGTTATGTATTTTTAAATAAAAATACGACGGGATCATAAGATCTCACATACGTTTTCATTTATTACTCGTTATTCCGTAAATATTGTATACGTCGTCGTGTCGAAAGCCAATATGTATTTTACGTTTAATTACTTCTTCTCTTTTTATCTCGAAGGAATCCTACGGAGGGATCGTGAAATCGTAAAATCTTTCCTACAAATTCGCTTGGCAAAATCGTCATGCAAACACGGGACGCGAATATTTCCTACAAAATTTTGTTATTTCCTTTTTTTTTAAACAGAGTAACCGGGGGGTTTTTTTTTTTTTTTCTTTTTTTTTTCTGTTCATACGGAGAACATATCATCGTCTTTTTCCATTTCAGACGAAAACAATTAAAGAAGATACAATATACGCGGCTCTTTGTTTGCACTTAATCACACGTCGAGCAAACTTGAAAACGTTGTAAATTTAAACTTCTAATTGCGTCTATAAAATGAACGAACGAAGGCGTAGCCTTGTGGAGAATATTCAGTCATGTTAAAACAAGGAAGAAAGTAATAATACGTGTTACATATATGCGTTTCTTCGTTTAAAAAAATGATTTCTTCATGATTGACGTACATATATACTTAAATACGTGCTTCATAGCGATAAGAGATATGATTTTATCATTAGATCTATTTCATCGATCCAATTTTTATCATTATCGATTGGTAAGTATATATATATTGTCTTGAAGCTGTTAGTAATTATGATTAGATATTATAGATGTCTGTGAACGTTGTACTTTTTTGTT